ATCTGGAACAGTTTACCCTTAGAAATAAGGACCTGTCACTCTATTATAACCTTCAAACGCTTGCTATAAAAACTGTTTCATTCCAATAACTATGCCAATCACACCGCACCACTTATTTCTAAAACGCATTAGCTATTAGAACACTATAACGCTTAAACTCAATAATATACATTATGACACTAAATAAATTCTAAGACTTCGCAAAAATACATGAAAACACAACTAGAATATAGGTAATGTTTACTATACAGTTATATACATTTATAAACATTTATTATCAATGTCCAGGTCTAACTACCCTGGACTTAACGCTGTTCTTAGAAGACTTTCAGAAACTATTGTCAATAACCAACGCGAAAAACCAGAACACAAATTGGTGATTCAAGAATCCTATATTCTTGCGCCAATACAGAACCAACCACAAGGTTATTGTACACAAAATTTCTGATAGTTTTTCTCTGTCTTCTAAAAAACAGCGAACGATAGAACGATGACTGCACAAAAGTTTGCTGCTGGCTGGCTGGATTCAACATAGAACTTGGCACTAAAGTGCAGCAGTTCTAGTTGCCACGTTCCAAAGAGCACACAAACGTAGACAAGAAAATGAGTGAAGAGAATCAATAGAGTTTTGACAAGTATAAGAGTGAAACAGAATGAGTAATGGTAGAAAGGAATATGTAGGATTATAGAGACTGAATACATCTGCACCATTGACAACGATTTTGAGCCATGTCACCTATTGTCTCCAGCCAATTGATTCTTAGAGTCCCGAGGGCCCCAACCCGGAAGTCTGCATTTCCCTACCTGACTCAGTTTAACTGTCAGGGATTTCATGGATTGATGCCATGTTTTTGTTTGGCCACCGCCTACTCTTTTCCAACCTGCACCTATATCAGCTAGTAATGCCCGTCGGGGGAGGCGATGGCTAGGCATGCGCAGCACGTGACCTAGCCATCTCAATCTATGTAACTTTATAGCCTCTTCGATTGATTTTCCCTCTTTGCCCAACACTCTACGCCTAACGTCAACATTACTTACTTTATTATACCACCTAACGCGAGAAAGAGATCGTAAACATCTGTGGTCAAAAACAGACAATCTTTTCATGTCTTCCGCTCTCAATGGCCACGTCTCACCACCATATAGAAGGACTGAGCGGACTGCTGAGCAGTACACACGCCCCTTGGTTGACAGCCGGATGTCAGGCCTACGCCAGAGACGGTGTAAGTTAGCGAAAGCAGCCCAAGCTTTTTGGATCCGTGCTGGGATTTCGTCGCCAATCAATCCGTTGGTGCTGATACAACTTCCCAAATAGGTGAATTGGTCAACATGTTCTATCACTAAGCTAGGAGTTGACGTAGTCCAGTCCTGTAGCAGCATCTTACATTTTACAGGGGCTAATCGCATGCCAAACATACGAAGATTGCTGCTCAAGGTGTTCAGAAGACTCTGCATTTTGTCAGCATCCTCCCCTAACAGGACTATGTCGTCTGCATATTCAAAGTCCATAAGACTATTCCCTGGTAACAAGTCTATTCCTAAGTCGTTAAGTTCAGTTAAGGATACTTCCATTAACATATCTATGATGAAGTTAAACAGAAATGGGGAAAGTGGACATCTCGGACGGACACCACTGGTTGTTATCAATTCAGATGATAATTTCCCATAATCCCTTACATGGCACAAAAGTAAGAAAAGGAGCAGACGTCGGCTCAAACCACTAACTCGTACAAGGGACAATCCAAATCAAACTAAAAGCTTTCACAGAAACATGAGCTGCAGATAGACCACAAGCCAAGTTCAACACTCAAAGAGTGAAGGACCAGGATACAAAGGACATCTTCACTGCAGCCGTAAGTCACTAGCGAAGAGACCAGGGTTGAAAAGCACTGGAACAGTCTGAAAGCAGTGTGGAGTCAAACCTGCATGGAAGTTCCGGGCAGAAAGAAGAGACAGCACAAACAGTGGCTCACTACAGACACATGGAGACTAATAGAATAGAGAAGGATGGTGAAACAAAAGATTATCCAGTGCATCGATGAGCAACAAAAACAAGTGTTGAATGCAAGCTACAATACACAGAACAAAATAGTAGAGAAAAGTGCCAGGGAAGACAAAAGAGAATATCATGAAGCTATGGCAACTGAAGCAGAACAAGCTGCAGGCAAGGGGGACCTCGCAACACCCTACCAAACAACTATGTTCCCATCGGGGAGAAGTTCAACACAAATTAAGCCAGTGAAGGATGACAAGGGGGAGTCAATCACCAAAGAGGCGGAACAACGTTAACACTGGACTGAGCACTTCAAAAAACTTCTGAACCGACCGCCACCTACAACGCGCCCAATAATACCAACAGCGTAAGCAGAACTACCAGTGGACATCAATTCTCCGACGGGAACACAAATACTGAAGGCAGTCAAGATGCTAAAAGCTGGAAAAGCAGCAGGACCAGAAACATCGGAAATGAACCCAGAGATACCAGCGGACTGTATGACACTACCGCTGTGGAAAGATGGCAAGGTACCTGCAGGTTGGAAGAAAGGCTACCTATTCAAAATACTAAAGAAAGGAGACTTAAGTCAATGCAAGAACTGGTGTGGCATTATGCCCCTCTCTATCTCAAGCAAAGTACTAAACCGCATCATCCTGGAGAGAATCAAACACGCCGTGGATGAAAAGCTTCGACCGGAGCAGGCTGGATTCAGGAGAAACAGGTCATGCACCGATCAAATCGCAACACTACGTATTATCATTGAACAGAGCTTGGAATGGCAGTCAGCTCTCTACCTCAACTTCATTGACTTTGAAAAGGCCTTCGACAGCGTCGATTGAGAGGTGATTTGGCAACTACTTTGCTACTACGGGTTGCTGCCAACAATTATACACCTCATCCAACAGTTGTACGATAATGCTGCATGCCAAGTTATCCACAGCGGGAAACACACGAAATCCTTTGAAGTGAAGACGGGAGTGAGACAAGCTGGCTGCCTACTATTCAATGATTTTCCTGATTGCGTTAGACTGGATAATGGGACAGACAGCGGGCAGTGAGGAAACGGGTATAGAATGGACCCACACAAAATACTTGGAGGATCTGGACTTCACCGATGATATATGTCTGGTTTCCCACAAACTGGAAGATATGCAAGTGAAAAGCAACGAGTTGGCAAAAGAAGCATCAAAGATAAAACTTCAGGTGAACATAGAGAAAGCAGAGGTGATGAAGATTATTTGGCCAACAGCAACAACAATCAGCATAAATGGGAGTAATCTGAAAGTAGCAACCTCCTTTACCTACCAACCTGGGAGCATCTTCTCAACTATAGGCGGAATTGACGAGAATGTCAAGGCGAGGATCGGGAAAGCAAGGCAAGCTTTCATTTCTCTCAAGTCTGTGTGGAGATAAACAGCGCTCGGCGTGAAAAATAAGATTCGGATTTCCAACTTTAATGTGAAGTTGGTGCTACCATACGGATCAGGGACTTGGCACGTCACGCAGGGCACTTCGAACAAACTGCAGGCTTCCGCCCTCAGCTGTCTTCACGCAATACTCAAGACCAGACGGCCGGAAATGATCAGCAGTAGTGATCTCTGGGGACGAATCAACCAGGAACCAATTGTGCAACAAATATGCAGGAAGAAGTGGAGGTGGATTGGAATAGTCTTTCTCAGTGTGTTGATTAACTGCTGTCTTTTCATCGAATTGACATGCTGAAGTGCATTCCACATGTCAGAATTCGTTGTAAAATGTCATTTATGATAGTAAATGCTAAATAATTCCCATTATTGGGACACATTTAACGTAAATGACTAGGAAGGGCTTTGAATATCGGGGTAACTATGATTTCATGATGCTTACAAAAATTCAGTCAGACAGGAAAGCGAGATGATTAATTTGTGAGACGACAACTGAGAGACAGTCATTTAATTGGTAGGTAGTGTGTTTTAAGATTTTATTCAACTCACCACTTCTTTTCCCGAAGTTTTGTCTTCTTATTTTCCAGATAACGGTCTTCACTTCCGCAGTCATTCAGTGCATTTAGACATTCTAATGAAATTAAAACGGATAATGTGTTTGTGAATGATGAAATATTCGTGATATTGTGAGTGTATTTATCGAAATAAATATTCTAAAAAGTTTTCACTCCATTCATATAAAATACTTATTGTTTCTCGAGGTCAGAAGATGTAATATGCGTAAAATGTCATATTTACACGTGACTGAATTTGGGCATGATGGGCTACTATTATTACTTTTCAGCAACTGTTTCCTTTGGTAAACTGTAAACAGGCGATATGCTCAACAATAGCCTTTGTAATAAGTCGCCGTATTTTATGACAAGAAAATAACCGTTGAAGTATAGTGACGTGGTCAACTAATACCTAAGTCTAGGTGTTGATGTGGTCATGTAAGAGCCTACTGGTACACAATGATAACACAGCGGTTAGGACACTCGCTGGCCATGCACATGGTCCGTGATTCGATCCCCTGCCGACGCACACCTGATATCAATGGTCGGTCTGCTAAATTTGGGTCACCAGTATCGCATACTGAAAATTCCATACTCACATCAAAGTACTGTGTACAATCAAGCCTGCTTAAATCTTGGGCTACCAAATACCTTATACATTACAAATCATATTGCATCTAATTGCTCATTTCCAATTCATTTTAAATAATTAAATCTTATTCAAATATGTCCTCTAATCGGATTATTTATTCTCGTGAGTATTTAATATCCTTAAAACCTACTGATCGGAAATACCATAAAAAAGACAAAAAAAGCATCATGCCGGGTGGCAAAGAGCCTTAAAAAATACCCCTATTCAATTTATGACTGTTCCTGCAATTATGAGTACTAATTGTCGCTCCCTGCCAGCCAAGATTAACTGTCTTCAATCACTCGTGTCTTCCATTATATATCGAAATACTGGGATCATATCACTTCAAGAAACATGGCTACATGATCTATACGATGACAATCTAGTGTATCTGCATGATTTCAAATTATTCAGACAAGATCGGTGTAGTTCTAGGAAGAAACGTGGTGGCGGTGTCGCCATCTTCATCAATTCACAATGGTGTACATCTAATAAAGTATGTTTCAAATTCTCTAGTGACAACATTGACTGCCTCACCGTTAAATGTCGACCTAAACATTTGTCAAAATATAACTACATATACATCTCGAACATTTATATTGCGCCTGGATGCAATTCCACTGAATTGTCTTTATTTGCGGATGAATTTACCTCCCTTGCTGCCACCTCCTTCGGAAACTCCTTGTCTATAGTTACTGGAGATTTCAATTCTAGTGATCACAGCTTCCTTATTTCACTTGGTCATGATAACATTGTCAACTTCCCGACTCGAATGGATAATATTCTAGATCTTGTGTTTACAAATGACATAGGAATATTTGAAGCTCGGAAAAGAGCCCCACTACTTAATTCTGATCACTGCATCATAAGAATATTGCCCAAAGTATATGGAAAGCAGCACAAAAGGGTCTTCTCCTACCTTGGAAAGAAAACACAACACAGATGTTATTCACATGACAACATACAGAATCTAAGGACAATGTTAAAAGACACAAACTGGGACTTGTTTACTGAACAAGCTCTCGATAACACAATTAGTAACATAACACATTATCTTAATTTCTGTCTTGATGTTTGTTGTCCAAAAGAGACAATCTTCTTAAAATTCGACCGCTTCTCCTCTTCTCAACTCAAAAAGCTTCGCCGTGAAAAAGAGAGGTTGTACAAAATGAAAAATAAATCTGGTGTTAAGAGAATGAACACTTTGATTAAAGCCGAATTACAAAGACTAAATGCTCTCTATAACCAGAAGTTTCTTTCATGTAAATCCTCATCTAATATGTGGAAGCTATTAAAGGAAATCACAGGTGGTAAGCAAATAATGAATGATACTTCTGTTGATGTTGATATGCTTAATAAATCCTTCATATGTATCCCTGCAGATGTTATGATTCCCAAATCTAATAGTATAAATAATGACTGCTTCTCATGTTTTAACACGAATGATGTCCTTAAGTGTCTTCAATCTCTCAAACCTACTCAGTCCCTTGGTCCTGATGGAGTTCCTGCTGTTATCCTTAAGAAGTGTGCTGACATCTTATGTTACCCATTAACCGACATTTTCAATGAATCTTTTTCCAAAAGTATTATTCCTGACTCATGGAAAAATATCAAGGTTGTTCCAGTGCCTAAATCAACAAGTGGACCTACTGTTAAGTTTCGACCGATTGCTATTACCTCACCTTTTTTAAAAGTTATGGAAAGACTTATTTTACTTGATCTTGAACCCTCTTTAAAGCCTTTTAATGACCCCAACCAGTTTGCTTATAAACATAGTAGGTGTACCTTAGATGCCGCTGTTGTTCTATATCATGATATAGTCTCTAGTTTAGATAGAGGAGCCAAATATGTTCGGTGTGCCTTTCTTGATTACACATCTGCATTTGACTCTGTTCCTAGGTCTCTCTTGATAGGTAAGTTTGCTGCAACACAGAGTGAGAACTGGACAAATAAGTGGTTGCATTCCTATTTTTCTGATAGGAAGCAGTACACTGTCTACAATGGAAAGTCCTCCACTACCTCACTTACTTTAGCTGGTGTTCCTCAAGGTGCTGTTCTTTCTCCTTTTCTGTTTTCTTTTTTCTTACATGACTTGCCCCATTCTGATGTAGCCACTTTTGTCAAGTATGCTGATGACCTCTCTGTCTCCATGCCTGTCAACTCTCAGTCAGACTGTTCCAAATTAAACAACTTTCTCTCGGAAATTAGTCAGTGGTCCTCTTCAAACGGTCTTAAGCTGAATCCGTCTAAATGTCAAGTAGTAAATTTCACTTTCAGGCGAAAACGTGACCTGCAACAACTAGCTAGCTCACATGGTCCCACTATCATTGACGACATAGAGGTTGAAACTACATCTAATGTCAAGTACCTTGGACTGAGTATTTCCTCCGATCTTTCCTGGTCCTCTCACATCTTGCTAGTCACTAGAAAGGTGTTTCGGTTAACGTTCTACGTTAGGAAGTTAAGGTAGTCTGGTATAAAGCAGTCTTTGCTTTCTCAGTTTGTCAATTCTTGTATTCTAACCATCCCTCTTTACTGCTCCCCATTAATCTTTCCTGGACTACTTAAGAAAGATTTTGCTTTGCTGCGTAGGGCACTAAAAGCTGTTAGTAGGGGAAGTGGGATTTCGTTAAACCAACTGGTTAACACCATTGTGGATAGACATATAATGTCATGTAAGAAACTAGCGAATTCTATATTGTCAGACCCCGAACACCCTCCCTATACGCAGCTCTTTCCTTGCATTTCATCTGGTAGAACTAGAAGCAACTATAGGAGGCTATATGCCAGGACTACCAAGTACAAAAACTCCACAATACCTTATATGGCACAGCTGTTATGTGATGAGAAAACTGTTACGTGTGACACTATCAACTTACTGCGGCACTCTAACAAATAGTTCCCACTAGCTTTTGTTCTCCTTTCTTTGTTACTATTATATTGTTGCTCACATATTCTATTACACACTAATTTTATATTTCATATCCTGTGGTGCATTGTTTAAATATGTGAATGCAATGCTGATCTTTTTTATTTCTCTTTTTTTCTTTTGGTTGTTGTTGCTTTTTATTTTTAAAGTTTTATAAAATTTATGAGGTAATTAGATACAATATTGTAATGCACGCTGAAAATTCCATACATGTACCACAAATACTGTTTGGAATAAAGCTATTATTATTATAACTTCTTACCCAACGATTTCCTTTGACACAATGGTATTAAATGCAACATAAGGATAATGGAATACTTATGATAGAGAGGATATACGTTTCATAGTGTACTCGAACTGCTTAGACTACCAATACAAGTCGTGTACGTACACAACCTACGTCCGCTAAGTAATATTTCGTTATTCCATTGCAAGCACATATCCAACAGCTATTTTCTTCTTGACACCAGTGAATACCAATATTATGCGCAACCGGATTGAAAGTAACTGAAACATTTCACGCAAGGCTTGATGACGCACTGAGGAATAATAACGGTTTAAAACTGACGCACTTCGCATAAGTATGTCAAAATCACCTATCATTCTCGTTAACTACGCAATGTCTCCGAAATGATAAGTAAAAGTAGTTGACATGAGTGCATATATTTGCAACGAAACAATAATCAATCAAGTTAAAAATAACTTAGTATGTAAGAGTACATATCCATTCTAAAAAGAGTCCAAAACAACCCAGTAAGGAAAGTCACAGTTGTAGATTTTTTATAGCTGCGTCATAGTCATCATAAGGTCTACTAATCGGTCTATCCACAAGATCTGGTTCAGTTCGCCTCGGCTGTTAGTGGTGTTGAACTGGTCCCTTCAGTTTTCGTCACCACCAGGTCCGCTCGGAGAAACTGGAAATGGTCTTTTCAAGCAAGGATTGAGATTGTATTCCTTCAAACACCTTCGGCTGCATCGAGAAATATCTGGAGATGTATACCTATCAGGTGAATTTATATTACCTATGGTGAATAATTCTTTATGCTAGGCACGCCGAATACGGATATGAGATAGGGTACCATCATACAGTTGGTGAAATTCTACAGATTAATTTTGAAGAAATTTGGAACCTCCAAAACGTCTATCACACTTTCTCTTCTGTTAAAAGCAAATATTAAGCAAGCGACTCTCTTTTCCATCCGTTACCATCTACTGAGAGCGACTAAATCTTCTATATATATATTCCTATCTATGTAGGACACACCAGTTGTACAGGCATGGATAAGTATCATTTACATTACATGAATTTGATTTATGGTGAAATCACATGGTTGCTGTCCTCTCTGACATTAGTTAGTGAGTACAATCTGATAGCTAGTCGTTCAATGGAGCACATAAAGAAATATAGAAATACTGTCTTCGCATTAACAAAAACATCCAAGTATGTGCTGGATAAATTACAAATATCTGGGAAAAAAATAAAGCTTGAAGTTGTACCATTTCATATTGCCCCTTCGTTTCATATGTTGGTAACTAAAATCTAGAAGGTAAACTGCAAATCTCTGATTTCCTTACTTTTTTATTGTACATATATATTTATAAAATGCTGTTAGGGATGATACATACAAAATGGCTGACTGAAAGTAGTCATTCACACCATGAGTTTCGTTGAGTTAGCTAGTGAAGGCAAAAACTGTCTATATGACATTTAGCAATAAAAAAATCTTTTTCTGAAAACAAAAGGAGTATTTCACCAGGGCCTAGCAGATTAAAAGGTGGGAGGGTGGTGACTGCTATCCAGCGGATATGATGGTGGGGACATATGAGAACCGCCCTTATCTGTGGGACAGCACTCTATTGCTAAGGCTCCTGAGTTCGAATGGCTTCTGCGAAATAAGAGAATAAATAAAATTTAAAAAAAAACGGAAGCTGAATATTTGCCTAATGCCGAAGTTTAAATAACAAACTCCCCGAATGCAAGTACATGGTATGAGTCCCCTACTTCAGAAGGACACCTAAATGTATACTTAATATATACGCAGGGGAATCATTAATATTCATTATTTATTTCATACACTAGCATAATCATTGATTTCACGCATCTGCGTGATTATTGATTTAAATTACTGAATTCCCCAAGGTCGTTAATATTTTTAAAATGTGACATTGATTTTTCTAATTGTATAAATACGGAGTTGTTGTTTAACATTTTTGACTGTTGTTTGAGACAGTAAAAGCTCTCATATCAACGTCCAGTCTTCTCTTTTATTTGTCTTGCGTGCCCGGCGGTATTATTGTTGTTGTTGTTGACGTGCGATCAGGACAGATTAGCCAGCGCATTAGTTAGATTCGCTCGTAGTCTACAAGGTCCTCATATTCACATACATAACAAATTTGGCGACGGGTTTGCTGAAGATGGACCCACTGCGTTTAGAGAAACTAATGGAACAGCAGCTAAAATTGATGGAAATGCTTGCTGGTCTACAAATATCACGCTCTGCTGATTCATCTACAGCCAACGACAGCATTGGTAGCAGCATCTCAGAATTTGTTTATGATCCAGATGCGAACGTCACTTTTGACACTTGGTTTCGCAGATATGAAGACCTATTTCGAGTAGACTTTGCGGATAAAGATGATGCCTGGAAAGTACGGCTTCTACTTCGTAAATTGGGAGCAGATGAGCTAGATAAATACTGCAACTTAATTCTGCCACAGAAGCCCAGCGAAAGATCATTCGATGAAACTGTCCATACCCTTCGTCATCAGTTCGGTGATCAGAGATCTTTATTCAACATTCGATATCATTGCATGAAACTATCTCTGAACGAAAATGATGATATCCATACTCAGTTGGGTATAGTCAATCGCACGTGTGAACGTTTTAAATTGAAATCACTCTCAGAAGACCAGTTCAAGGTATTGATTTTCATTTGTGGTTTGCAGTCTCCCAAATTTGCTGATATACGCACACGTCTATTAAATCGTCTGGAACAAGATCCACGAATGACTTTGAAAGACGTCGGTGAAGAATATCAGCGTTTAATCAACATTCACAACGATACCGTCTTGGTGCAGTCTGGCAGCCAAAATGCAGCAGAAGTGCATGCGGTGCATCCAGTACCGTCGACATCAACCGCACCGCTTCATCCTCAGCATAAACCACCATCAGCCTGCTGGCACTGTGGCTCCTGGCATTTTGCAAAATTGTGCCCATTCAAACAGCATAAATGCCGTCGATGCCATACTGTTGGTCACAAAGATGGCTACTGCAAACACAACAACCAACCCAGATCTCGTAGTCGACCCAGACGGCGGAACAAGCTCAAGTCTTTGGGTGTTACTGCCACATATCATAGTAGTACTCCGGCACCTCGCAAATATATCAATCTGACGATTAATACACGGCCGGCACGCCTACAAATCGACACAGCATCCGATATTACAATAATATCAAAGAAATTGTGGCAGAAGTTGGGATGCCCTGCCATAGAGAAGACAAATCAGATAGCAATTAGCGCATGTGGTGGAAGACTTCGATTGAATGGAGAAATAAAATGCAGCGTTGATTTTCGCGATAGTCATTTCGTCGGCACATGCTACATCAACAATTCAAACCTTGACCTCTTGGGTTTAGACTGGTTCGAGAAGCTGCATCTGTCAGAGATTCCGTTAAGCAGTGTATGCCAGAAGATTGAAAGTATTGAGCCCTCAACAAGAAAACCAGAAATCAGAGACAGATATATTAAACCTAAGCCCATTAGAAAGAATGACGTGATTAATGAAAAACCAACTTCGAATCGTCATAGTGAGTATGGCTGCGCCAAAAGTGCTTCGATGTCTGGTAGCAACAAAGTAGCAACTGTTAGCTCCAGCAAGAGAGGCTCTGCTCAAAAATTGAAAGTGATGTCTGTCATGGCAGCCAAAGATCCGCCACCGAGAGCATGGCCCACGTCAAAACCATGGTCCCGCCTACATGTGGATTTTGCTGGGCCGATAGAAGGTATATACTACTTGGTTCTCGTGGACTCTTACTCAAAGTGGCCGGAGGTAGTACAAGTGACACCACCGTCTAGCAGCAGAACAGTATCAGTCCTGGAAAAGATCTTCGCATGTCACGGTATACCAGAAATCATCGTGTCTGACAATGGCAGTCAGTTCACCGCACAAGCGTTCCAGGAATTTTGCAAGAGAAACGGTATACAACACGTGCGGACGCCACCTTATCACCCTCAATCCAACGGTCAGGCAGAAAGATTTGTCGACACTTTCAAACGAGCGTTGTTGAAAGCAGGGGGAGGGGCGAAACCGGAAGCAATACAAAACTTTCTTTTTGTATACCGAACTACACCACTGGCAGAACAGAAGAAAAGCCCTGCAGAACTTCTAATGGGTCGAATGCTACGAACTCATCACCACTCCATGTTACCATCTTCGTCACATCAACGAAGAAATAGTCTGACGTATTACCGCAAGGGTGATGCCGTCTATGTGCGCGATTATCGACCGAGGAACAGAAAATGGGCCGAAGGCTTGATAGAATGTCGACATGGAACTGTAATGTACAAGGTTAAAGTTGGGGATGAATGGTGGATAAGACATAAAAATCAGATACGACGTCGATATACTACATCCCAAGAACCTAAATTGCCACTGGATTTACTACTGGAAACTTTCAAAATACCACCAGTCAAACCAGAAGCAAAACAAGAGATGCTAC